CTCAGATTGGATTTACATTTAGATTCAGGTTTAAGTTTCATGTTAGGAGTGGTGATAAGTTGGTTTCAAGATTAGCTCTAGAAACAGGATTGGGTTGGTATAAAAGATAAGTTTTATTTGGGGGATTATTAATTGAGATGTGTTTAGATTTGAGGTTAGGGTTACAGTTGGGGTTGAGTTTGAGTTGTGATTTGGGTTGAGGTTAGATTTGGGTTAGGGTCAAATTTGGTAATAAATCCCAATTTAGGTTTTGAGGCTAAGTTCAAGTTTGAGGCTAATGTCATTTCAGCCTCATTTGGAGGCCTCAGAGATTTCACTAGTTTCTCCACAGAGACCACTATAGAGAATGTATTTCCCTGAGTTTGGGGCACAAGACTCCAGTCATCAGTTCTCCCACCCAGGGAAAGCCCCAAACCAACTGCTGGCCTCCCAAGAAAGAAACCGAATTTCATACAACCTCTGAAACTGAGATTGAAACCAAGATTGGCCCATCGCAAGGAGCATCCTTCAGCACATTGCAAACGCACGTGACACCAAGTCTCAGCCGGGTCTCGCCCTTCCTTCCTCTGACTCTCACGTCTCCCTGTCACTCCTTCTTGCCTTCCCATTTTTGTGTTTCAATGTCCCATTCTTCCTCTGAGACCTAAGTTTCTCTCTGTTTCTCACTGGTAATTGCAACAGCATTTCATGTTTTAAAATAGCTTAGCTGGGGTTTCTCAGGCCATCAGCTCATAGCATTAGAGAAGCAGAAAGAGACAACAAGAAGGAAAAAAGGCTGGGCGCGGTAGCTCACGCCTGTAATCCTAGCACTCTAGGAGGCCAAGATGGGAGGATCGCTTGAGCTCAGGAGTTCGAGACCAGCCTGAGCAAAAGTGAGATCCCATCTCTACAAAAAATAGAAAAATCAGCTGGGCATGGTGGTGCATGTGCCTGTAGTCCCAGCTACTCTGGAGGCTGAGACAGGAGGATGCTTGAGCCCAAGAGTTTGAGGTCGCCGTGAGCTATGATGATGCCACGGCACTCTAGCCCGGGCGACAGAGTGAGACTCTGTCAAAAAAAAGAAAAAAAAAAAAAGAAGAAGGAAGGAAGGAAAAAAGACCCCCAGATAAAGAGGGACACAGAGAAAAAGAAAGGAGCAGGGGCCCAGAGGGAAATCAACATTGACGCGAGAGACAGTAAAGTTAAGAGAACAAGAAGAGCCAGGCATGGCGGTGTATCTTCCAGATTCATTTTTCTAACATATCATACTAAGTGGGTCGCTCTCTTGCTTAAAATTTTTGGTGGCTCCCATCATATTTCTAAAATCTGAACTTCTTTTCTGGATTTTTAAACCCGTCAGAATATGCTCGCAGCTCACCCCCAGCCTCACCTCTGCTCCTTGCACTCGCGTGCAGCTGCACGTCTCAGCACACTTCACGCTCTCCCTTGCCTCCCGTCTTGGCCCAGACTCTTCCCTCCAACCAGAGTGCTCCTCCTGTCTTCTCTGCCTCTATAATGAATGCCCCCATCACCTCTGCCCTGGGCCAGGTTCAGTGGCCTTTCTGTGGGCTGCCATAAGCCTGCCATCATGGAACTTAATCTCACTTTAATATCCTTGACTTCCCCAAGGAGTTGAACATTCATTCAGCAAGTATTTTTTTTTTTTTTTTGAGACAGAGTCTCACTCTGTTGCCTGGGCTAGAGTGCCATGACATCAGCCTAGCTCACAGCAACCTCAAACTCCTGGGCTCAGCCAATCCTCCTGCCTCAGCCTCCCAACTAGTTAGGACTACAGGTGCCTGCCACCATGCCTGGCTAAATTTTTCTATTTTTAGTAGAGACAGGGTCTCACTCTTGCGCAGGATGGTCTCAAACTCCTGAGCTCAAACAATCCTCCTGCCTTGGCCTCCCAGAGTGCTAGGATTACAGGCATGAGCCACCACACCCAGCCTCTTCATCAGATCTAGTTTTCCCTGGGTCTTTGGGTCTTCATTCCTGAAGGCTCCCATGTCACTTTAAACTTCAACTAAATAAATTTGTTATGCTTTTCTCTTGTTAACCTGTCTTTTGTTAGGAGTGTGGGCCATAACCCTTATGATGGGTGAGGAAAGGTATCACCCCTTTCTGCCCCTACAGAATGAAAAGAAATAATAGCTAAGACTAGTAAAGTCTAAAAGGCAAAGTTGCAGGGCCTCAAGTAGGGAAGGAAAACAGGAGAAATAGCTCATATGCACCTGGAATGTTGCTCGTGTGCCTTAGAACACCA